ATAACTTTTATTAATACTTTTAATATTAACTATTTGTGTGAAATGTATTTTGAAAAGAGATAATTAATTAATTAGTGAATTGAATGCAATATTGTTGACATCGATATTGTCTGCTCTCTCTCTCTCTCTCTCTATTCAAACTTCAAACATATCTTATACTCAAATGTAAATGTGTTTAATTTCCTGTTAAACTAATTGTAACTTTTCTGTTAATTCCTACCAATTCTTGTATTCAACTGTTTTCGCATAAATTAATTGTAATTTAATATTATTCGTCAATTATTTACTAAATAATGGGATTTTCTCTTATTTAGTATTTCATTGAGTGATATATTGATTGCCATCAAAGCAAAGGATAGTTTACATTGTGTTTGCATTCGTTGCAAACCGCAAACCACTTCACGCCTTAAGACTAAACAGTGAGTGAATTGAGATTTTAAATCAGTTAACGAATCATATTGTGATCAATATTTGGTTTAAACCGAAAACTTTAGATAAGTTTATAACGAGAAATGGAAACCGAGATAAAGAGTGTCCCCAAAGGAGATGATAACTCCATAGGCGACGGAACGTCACTATTGGCCACTCAATGCGGAACCGGTGCTCAAAAGCGACAGAGGAAGTCGACCGCTCCCGTACTTCAGCGCATTCGACCCATCAGTAAACGCAAAGTGAGTTTCATTTCAATTGTTAAGTTGTTTTTGATATTTACAACCGATTTCTCAATTTGACAGAAATTCAAGAAGTCTTTGGGTCCGGACTTCTTAGAGCCCGCGGAACTGGGAATGCAATACTTGCGCGACACGTATGAACCAAAGTGTGATATCTGTTCTCTCACTATGTTTTCGTCGCACACTTCACTCAATGTGTGCGAAGAACTCCTTCACTGCACCAATTGTGACGCTAAAGGTTTCGTATGATTAGATTCGTTGTAAACTCAATCATAAACTATAATAATATTATGATTTACAGCACATCCGAGTTGTGTGAATGTGAGTGAAGAGGAAGTGGTCCATAAGACTCAATGGCAGTGCCATAACTGCAAACTCTGTTCTGTTTGTCGCCAAACCGATACCAATGTAAGCAATAGTTTGTGCAATAATCTTATGAAATATCATTTCACTCCTTATTTAATGCATTTCTTAATTTTGTATACAATTTAAGAGATATTAAATTAAATGTTTAATTACTTGATAGGAATACGTTATCATATGTTTGACTTGTAGTAAAGGATTTCATGTGAAGTGTCACTCGACTCCTATTATTAACAAACCGAAGGGTAAGTTTGACAGCAATATAACCGCAATGATAAACATATGACACCTATGTTTGTGCTAATGATTAGGGAACTGGTATTGTCAGAGCTGTTGCAGCAAAAGGTCCACTCATTCATCTCAACACACAAATGGATCGACTGATAAAAAGGCTGTTTTATATGCATCGGACGACTCGTCACAATCGGCTGAAAACGACAGTACAGTCAACAGTAGAGAGTATAAGAATTTTAAGTTATTTACTGAAAACGATTCCAATTGCGAAACCAATGAAAAGGATAGAAGTGTTTCCGGCGATTCTTCCACTTCTCTAAAAGATATCAAAAATAATAAAGAATTCAACGAAGAAGTCGGTGACAATCAAAACGACTCAATCAGTGAGAATATGGAGATAACGAATGGAATCCATTGTATTAAAGATGAAAACAATGTCGAAGAAGAAGAAGCCAATGAAGTGGACGGCGAGTCCAAAGCTCTGAGGTATGAAATGCTTGTATTTCTATCATTAGATTTGTTTTGTAAACATTGAATTCAATTGTATGTTATGGACAGTGATTGCAACCAAAGCCTCAACACAACAGTGACTCCGCAGAAGTGGTCTGTGGAAGAAGTGGAATCATTCATACGCGACGCTGGCTTTCCGTCGGAGTCACAGATATTTAAAGAGCAAGAAATCGACGGAAGATCTCTATTATTGTTAAGACGAATGGATGTACTGACGGGACTGTCACTGAAATTAGGTCCGGCTCTCAAAATATACAATCATATATCGCGTCTTCAGGGACGCAACACTTCACACCCATCACACGCCGCACAACCAACCACTAGGTGTTAACTTCTACCTAACTTATACCTGTATATTAGTAACACATTTCTAGTGACAAAATGTTGGCTTTGCGTTCAATTCTCAAATGAAGTCATCGATAGTAATAATAATAAGTTAACACTAGTTTCACAATCTTTTTATTTAATTTTAAATTATTTAAATTTTTGTTGATATATTCAACCCATTATACATTGACTTCTCTTTCTCACTATAATTTAAATACAATTTGTTGAGTTAATTATCGATTATTATTATTATTATTTTTGTTGTTTTATAATTTTTGAGCTCAAAATTCAGTTTACTGTATATTTAAATAAGTCTTAAGAAGTAATTTATATATAATTTAATTGAAATCAATATACAATATAATATCACATTATCACATTTTTATCGACAATTTATTGAATTTATTCTCACATTTCAACAACAAATGTAAAGTTAATTATATTTTGATTAATTATTACAATTCTTTGTACATTGAATGACATGTAAAATAAATTAAAAATTATTACTACATTAAAACCATATAACTTAAAACTAAATCCCTTTAAATCTCATTATAATTACCGTCTTTACAATCACTTGACGTCAAGAATGGGCTAAAGTTGTGAAAACATAATAAAACAATTAACAGTGTTTTAAGTCTTCGTCAACGATATTGCGGACCAAATGATAATAAATGAATGAATATTTGGTATAACTTAAGTATAAGAGTGTATACAGAATGTGTAATACAGTGTCATATGAATACAGATTCTGTACATTCAGTGGCAGTGAACGAGTGATGTATTGCAATGAGTACTGAATGCAAGTGCTGTACAACTCATTGCAAACGTCACACAAAAGTGTTGTTTTTCGGTACGAATGCAACAAATGTTTGGTTTGTTGTCTTCATTTCAATCACTTGTCATTTGATTTGACTCTAGTATTGATATTAACATTAATATTAAGACATTTCATCGCAAACCATATAATGATGGGTCAGAAGGTATGCTAAATACTAAGACATCAAATGATTTTTACAATAAACACACTATTCATGCATTTTGTTGACATTTGTGTCTTCAGCCTTCATCGATGTCTTCGCCATCAAGTCCTGAACATATCATATATGACTTCGAGAGAGACATCACTGTTACGAGACATCAACGATTCAAGTAATGTCTTTCATAAGTAATATCATTGAATGACAACTAAATGAATGATATGTTGAACACTATAGACATCCGAGCGCCGCCTTCTTCCACATCATATTCAAAGTGTCATCGATTGTCACCTATTTGTTCGGCGGTCTCTTCGGACAGGGTTTGTGTCCGCAATTATTACGAGAACCGGTTCTTCCGATTAGTGGTTAACAAATGATTTTGTATTTCAGACTTTCTGTCGATATTTGTTTTGCTAATTATGTTGATTTCGATGGACTTCTGGACCGTGAAGAACGTGACGGGAAGACTATTAGTGGGTCTTCG